TTATTAAAACATCTAATAGTTACATAGATTTAAGCGAATATTTAACATTTGAAATAAAACTATCTTTTAAAAAAAATCTCGGATTTATATTGATTTTGAGTTCCCGAAGTTTTGAATGCTTTAAAGCAATCATTGTCACAAGAGAGCCTAAGGTTTAAAGACGTCTCAAAGACAAATAAATGTATAGTTGTTACAAAGTCGGTAGGGAGTAGGGACTATCTTTAACTTTTTTCAAGTCATAATAATTTAACAATAATTAAAAGTAATTTCCTCACAAAAGAATTATCTATTTCTAAACGAATATTCAGCTCCTCGCTCTCCTCCTCTCTCCCGTTCCCCCTCTCTTTTCTCAAATCGTTTGTCATTGGTTAAATAAGCACTATAAATATCTAATATATGAGATAAAATACAAACATTTCTTACAGAGCTAGGAATTCAAAAAGAATGTAATCTTTTCTTGATACAAACAAAAGAGCAAGTCATGTGATAAAGAAAAAAAAAACATTTTACATAATGATTACTAGGAAATATTACAAATATACTTAATACTGCAATTATTATTAATTGAAGTGCAAAGGCCTACTTATACCATATGTTCATTACACTATCACTGCATGCTTGTCACGCAAAGCTTCTATTTAGTATTTAGACCAAAATAGGTTTCATCAATCTTCAATATTCTGCTCAGATATTTATTTATATTTATGTAAATAATAATATAGGAGCTCCTGACCGATTCCAGCCACGGCGGCCAATCTCATTGAGACTAACCAACTGCGCAGGAGATATTATACTTAGTGCACAAGTGTACGCGCAGACACTAGTGCACTCTCTATTCCTGTCACCCTCATACTCTGGTGGGACGAGTACTAGACAAGACCAGTGAGAGTTAAGGCGCAGGACTGACGGTTTTACGTGCTCTCGTTTACTGTGGAAGGCAAACTGATCTGATCATGCTACTATCCAAGGGAGCGAAGCAATAATATATGGTCTATCTATTCCATACTAACCGTTAATACGTACCTAGGGACGAACCTGAGCGAAGCGAGGGTGAACCGCTAGTTATTGTTAGAAATATGAGTTATGACTACTCTAGAAGACCAGAGATCTATTTTCGCACTCAAAGGAAATTTGCATTAGTTATTCAAATGTTTGTTCCGTTCTAGTTATATAAAACAATGTGCGGCTTAGAAGATACCTATTTTATCGTTATTAAAGAGGGTAATAGGATGTGGGAGCTTAGATGAAATTTTCCAAAATCGTTGAGAATAGACAATTTATAAATTGTGTTGAACTGACAATTTCATCTTTATGTCATGGAATCATAAATAATATATTATTTATATTTTTCAAAAATTGTGCAATGACATCTTGTCTAACCCTGGTGGTTGCAAATTTGCTCTACCCTGTGTGCAAGTGAGAATAAGTTTATACATAAACAAAATAAATTCTAAATAAAAGTTATCGCGAATATCCGAGAAGCGAGCAGGTACTAGCCATTATGATGTCAGTATTAGCTAAAATTTTATGATCGGTTTATTGCAACGATAAGTGCACTTCATTTAATTGGAAATAACTACATAATTAGTATTTAATTACGAGTTAAATTCGGTAATTAATATATAATTATTTAAAATCACGCTTTGCAAGCTCATTATCGCAAGAGAGCCGATTATAAGCTTATTACAGTGTCACAGAGCAAGCGGCACGCGAATTTCCTTAGTCGACTAATAAGAGAATTTTATTGTACTTATAGTACACGTTAAACTTAATAATTATGTAATTTTATACTTAAGTGTTTCATACTAGTTATTGTCCACAGCTCCGCTAAGCAGTGGGTGCGTCGTTAAAAAGTAATGTTTGTTAAGCAGGATATATGCTATCTCTTTTCCAAGCTCCAATAAAAAGCGTTGAGCATTCCCTCACCATCATTCACATTTATAATATTAGTTTGAAATTAACCGATGCCAAAATTATTTTTACTTTGAACTCATTGGTTTGATCATAGAACTTGACTGTTAACTGCTCCGATAATACCTACTCATTTTACTCGTACTGTAAAAAATATTAGGTACTCTAAAATATTTTATTATTATACACTGTTTCGCAAATTTGTCGGTATGAATTAACTAGATGCTGTTTATTTTTTTTCATCAGTTTTCTAGAACTTAGTATACTACGTCATGTAGAGTGTTCAATTTTTAAATAATATCTGTATACACCAGGGTTTGGGTCCCGGAACTTTATGTAAATTTAGTTATATCGGGTCCCGAGACTTTCGGGTCAGGTAAGGACTGCACTTTGGATTGTGACGGTGGTGGAAAATGGATGCCGAACCTAATACCAGAAGCTCGACTACTGTACACAACTAACACTTCAAATTCAAGTGGAACAGACAATAAAAAAACCGAATATATGCCTTTTTTTTAACGTTGGGAAATGCATTTACGCACGAAGTGTGGGACTCACCGGCGAAGCCAGTACTACCCACTAAAACCCAACAAAACCTTCCCCCGTCTTATTGGGGCGTCGCAGGATCGTTTACGCATTCAACTACGACACCCTGACGGCAGGTCTGCCGAAGCAGACCACAACAACCACGGGGTTGCTCCAAGGTCCACTCTGCTATTAGAGAAGTACCAGGAGCAACCCGCATGGTACACCGCCCTCCGAAGAGGGCCGCCTCCCACCGCCCACGAAGCGGGCCACCTCCCTGTGCGTTTCTTGGCTTCTCGCCCGGCTGTATTGCCGGGCACTACTGAGCCCCCACGACACACACCACGACACGGTGAACGCACGTTGGGGGGGAAACCGAATATATACCTGAAATTCTATCAAAACTCAAGGATAACATGAAAAAACGACTTGCAGTTGTTTAAAGCATTTTGAAGTTTTTGATTATAAGAATTAAACATAAATTGTTTATAATAACGACGTTAGAATTTCAAACATAAAACACACAAATGTTGATTTTTACCAAAATTTCTTTATTTATTGGTACATCTGGCAGAAAATTAATCTAATTTTATTTTGAGAAGTCATGAAGTCCCAGGACGTCCCGGGATCCTGGTCGTGGGTGGTTTCGTGTCCCGGGACTTTGAAAATATCGTGACTTCCCAAACCCTAGTAGTTATTAATTAGTATACACTATACTGCATAATGAATAATATAATTTGGACTTTATCTTATTAGACGTTTCGCCGCCTAAATAACGGCATAAAATATAAGATTTTTTAGTATTGGCTATTAAACTTCATATGAATACGAGAGGTATCAAATGGTTATGACACGTTTTTAATTTCATATTACCTACATAAAATGTATATAAAAATAAAAATGAAATGCTGTTCCGTTGGTAAGCGCATCACTTGAATACAATTGGGCCGATTTGGCTATTAATTTCTAAATGTTTGTAATAATAGTTCGTAATGAGGTTTTTAGAAAAAAAATAGAATCAAATGAGCCTAAACATGTTGGAAGTTCCCTCATGTTTCAAGTTCGAGGGCTTAGGAAACCCGAATGAAAATATAAAATTTTATATTTCTATTCAAGTTTCCTATACTTATTCGCAAAGTTTGAAAACTGTACAACAAGTAAAAGTAGTAGGTAGTAAGTATATATAGATTTTTTAGTTTTAATTGCATGAAAAACATGACATTTGTAGGTCTTAAAATGTTGACTATACGGAATCTTCATAAATGTAAATTTTATGAAGAAAATGGAGAGAATCTTTTTGTAGAGAATTTAATTTCCTACAAAAAAATTTCTTTAACTTTTTCTTTAATCCGCATACTTTAAGATATACTTACAAAAAACTACGATTTTTGGGGCATCGAAAAAAATTTAATTTTTAACGACTGCTCTTAATATATATTGTGGTACTTTCTTCTATTTCTATTTCTAACGCACTTATTTATTTTTCATTCTAAATATCTTTAAATATAAATTTGATAAAAATATTTTTTCTTTTAAGTTATATATAAATAAATATAGCATATGTACCTTGGTGTAAAAGATTTAAAAAACACAACAATTTATTAACACAACTATAATTTACAAAAATAGGACAGACACAAAAACGTATTACTAAACGGATGTTTAACATTTGTTTAATAAGACCTAGAGGTAGTAAAAGAAGCTTACTATACGAAGGAGCAAAGTTATATAATAACTTACCAAACAATATTAAAGAAATTTATTCTTTCACATTAAAAAAACACGAAAGTACCACCACTACCAGTAAAAGAATTTTCAAGACACTAAAATACTTGAACCTAAATATAAATGATGCTTTAATAATTGTTTAATATCTTGATTTAAATATTTTTTATTCATAAATCAACTAACTAATAAGAGTTTACATACATTGCTATCTAATTGCAATCGGAAAAGCAATACGTAATGAGGCATGATGCTTTTGTATACCCACATTATTGTAACCGATGTATTTATTTTCTATAGTTCTACATTTTTGTGTACCGCCTGTATGCTTGTATTTACTATTAAGGTGTATCTTGTTTTCTCAAATCTTTAACTACTCCAGGTAAATTTCTAAGAAATTAATTAAATTTCTAAGAAATCTATTGTTAACTGTAACGCTGGCGTGTCCGCGGTCGTTGAGGCATTATGTGAATTGTATTCTTTTTCGAGAAATAAATTTTAAACCGTAAAATGTTCTCTAAATTCATTTGTGTGTTTAAGTGTAAGGAATTATTAGCACGAAGAACAATTTAGAACTGCAGAATTGTTAACGATTTGCATAATATAGCGTCAATAAGTTAACGATGTGGAAATAATTGTGAAATTATTTTTTTCATTTATAATAGTTTTTTTTTGTTTTCTTTAAAATTATTCATTTTGCAAAGTTTTCTTACTAAAGTTTTTTTTTTAATAAATTAACATAAATTTTATAACATATTGTTATGAGATAAATGTATTTTACATATATAGTACTTTTATAATTTTGTTATTAATATTGTTTTACTTTATTATTTTTTCAGACAACCGGTATGACACCACTTATGTATGCTGTAAAGGACAACCGTACATCTTTTGTGGAGAGGCTCATTGAACTCGGTTCCGATGTTGGCGCCAGAAATAATGTGAGTATTCATATTTTCCAGCTACACATACAGAGCACAAATCTTGATCGAACTGAAGGCATTTTCATAGTACACAAAGGGCGTTGGATAGTGTACGTAGCTTAGAATCGACTTAGTTTCTGGTGGATAGCATTAACAGCTGCATATCTGCAGGTCCTGAGTTCGAGTACCAGGTCGAGCCAAATTTAGTCACAGAGTCGATAGAAATATCGAGAAACTTACAGTAACCGCCTGGAGTTGGGAAGTGTTATGCCCTCATGCTTCTGAAAGGTCATCCCACCGGAGTTTAAGAGTAAAAGGAATAGATAGTACACTTGTATTTGTGCGAATACTTGTTTACTATAATATCTTCTGCATATCAGATGTCTTATCTTAGTGAGATTCAATTTGAGTAGAGTTATTTTTATTAGAATTTATTTTATTAGAATGAGAGTTGAGTTTGAGTTTGAATTCAGTTTAAACTTTAAATTAGTCAGGAGGACATAATATAACTCAGTACTGAGTATATTTTCGGATAGGGCCTTATCATCATTTGAAAAGAGCACGACCACGCTTCTGTTTCATGTCTGTGGTGTGTTTTTTTTTAAATAAATAACTTCAAAAGGGCCTTAACTTTCGTTCTTATTATCATTTATTATCTCCTAGTTATTTTTGACCTATTAAAGAGCTAAACTAATTTCTGACAGATTTATATATATCCGGAATATCGTCGATATAGCATCAGCTTAATGTGTAAAAAAAAAATCTTAGATCGTTCGTCAGATATGAGACGGATTATCTCGTTGACGTCTATCTTGTTGATGTCTATAGGTGATCAATTTCGCCATGTTTTTGTTTATTTATAATTTTCCAATTTTATAATATTTGTGTTTGTTTTCTTTTTTAAACTTTTTACAAAGTCCCAAAGTCAATTGCTAAATAAAAAATTAAAATACAAAATTAAAAAATCCCGTTAGCACTCGAGCGTAAAATGCTTACTTAGAACTGGAAACAAGATGACGTAGAGCAGACCATTATGCAGTCAGATGTAATCCACCTGTGTAACATAGTATAACACGTTACGTTATTGTTGCTGACTGCCTTAGTTGGTTTTTTTATTTACATCTACAAATGAATATCTGCGTCTTTTTTAGGGTTCCATACCCAAAGGATAAAACGGAACCCTATTACTAAGACTCTGTTGTCCGTCCGTCTGTCACCAGGCTGTATCTATTGAACCATGATAGTTAGACAGTTGAAATTTTCACAGATGATGTATTTCTGTTGCCTACTAAACAACAACAAAAACAAATACTAAAAAAAAGAATAAAATAAATATTTAAGGGGGCTCCCATACAACAATTTTATGTGATTTTTTTACTCGTTTTTGCTTGATATTGATAACGGCAATATGTAGACGCTTGAAATATTCACAGAATATTTAGTTATATAGTCACTTTAAAAATAAATCATTGAATTAAAATAAAATAAATATTTAAAGGGATGCACCAATACAACAAACGTGATTTTTTTGCTGTTTTTATAGATAATGGTACGAAATCCTTCGTGCGCGAGACCGACTCGCACTTGACTGGTTTAATTTTTTTTAAATACATTCCTATCGGCCAAGGTGACATAATTAAATGCCTTAAATATGCATACATAAATCATTATAAATTAGTCAAATATACATATACACATGTATTATTTTTCATTAAAACGCTCATATATAAAAATGGAACCTTACAAAATATGTAATCGTTTTTCTAAAGCCTATATACTGTAAATATTATAACTGTGCAATCATTAATAATAATTATTTATAACGTATGTACGTGTTACCCTTTTGCTATATGTTTTATAAAAGTCTGTGTACTTGTTAAACAAATAGAATCTTACTAATATTATAAATGAACTTTCACATTAGATGTTTGGATGGATGTTTGTTACCGAATTATGCCAGAACGGCTGAACGGGTGTAGATAAAATTTGGCACAGGAATAGATTATAGCCTGAAAAAGCCTACTTTTACTTAAGTTAAGTAGGTTACTTTTTTCCCAGAAAAATGTACGGTTCCTGTGGGATAGGTTTGTTTTTGTTTAGTTCGCTAGTAATATAATATGTATTTCAAGAATTAAACTTACATTAGTAATGTACTTAATTTAAAGATTTATATTGCTTAAATTAAGATACTTAAAAATTAAAAAAAATTGTACATGTAACAAGACTCGCAGCGCATAAATTAGATTTTAATGTTTGTAATTTAATGTTTTCTTTAATGATATTACATGATTCCTTACTCATGTGATGATTTATGCAATAAATATATCGTGCGGTGTATATTTACACAAAAACTTTTTGTTGTTTTTAAATAAAAATTTTTTCAAACGCTAATAATTTGAGTAGCTAACAATATTTAAATTGTATGCTTTGAATAATAAAATATAAAAATCTTTATAACATTCATATTATTACACAGGCTTACAAAAGATTACAATAAAACGTCACAACAAAAATACTGATTCAAAAACTATAGTTTATGGTGGATTTAGGGCAGTACATTAGCAAATGTGCTACATGGCTCTTGATGCAAGATAAGACGGGCAATTTATAATCATAAGAGGTCACGCCTAGCCACGACATACATCACGCGGCCGCAGTTACCTGAACTTTACCTCCATATAATTCAGAGACCACTGCAAAATTAATAACTTTAAAGTCTTATCAGATCAAATAATATGTCGACACGTTCGGCTCAGTTTGTAGTGACCCTACTTGCTGTGCCAGCGGTCGTGGGTTGGAGTCCCGCTGGGAGCATTCATTTGTGTGATGAGCATTAATGTTTGTACTCCAGTCATGGGTGTTTATATTATTATATGTATATATTTAAAGTTATATATGTATAGAGTATCAACTATCTGGTATGCATAACACGAGCTTCGTCGCTTACCATGGAACTAGATGGTGCTGTGTTTAATGTCCCAACATTTTTTTTTTAATATTACAGAGACTGTTCGGGTTCTAATGGACGTATAAACAAAAGTGGACTGTATACACTAATTTATTGCTGGTTAAAAATCGGTGTCTTAAATACGTGAAAAATAAGGAATAGAACATAAATTGTTTAAATAAGGTGGCAGTCCGTGGCTCTAGATGGTGGGGCTTCTATTGTTGTGTATATCAGATGCAATAGAGACCATAAGCAATAACTTTATCTATACTTAACCGATTACAATAACATATAAATAATTAAAAAAAACACGCGTAAATAAAATTGCAAAGTAATAAAAAATATCTTAAAAAGAATTTTTTTTACTAGAGTATAAACTCGCTACTAAAGATACATTACCTAAATTATATTGAAGTAGGTAGTTTAAAAATTATGCAGTTTTTCATTGAAACAATCAAATTAAGTTTTCATCACACTAAGCTAGTCATTTTTCCAGAAATATGAAAGAAATAAATAGCAAGAAAAACTATTATTTCTATTAGACTCATAATCAAACTACACTCATTTTATGAATCACCTTTGAATCATAAAGGGCGTGACATTATGAAAACCGTAACATCTAGTTCACGATTTGACCAACCAACTTGAGCACGCAACTCGCAAATTACAGACTTCAAATTGCAACGTACGAGTATGTGCCTACTGCTCACATACATCAATATATAATAATACTAGCAGAACTTGCGGCTTCGCCCGTGTTCAATCTACAAAAAAACCTCTTTTGCTTTGTGTTATAGGTATATAAAGCGCTAGTTGCTATAGCGACTCACCCTCGCTTCGCTTGGGTTCGTCTATATGTATTTATACAATATTAAATTATTTGGATATTGTTCATACAAAAGTACTAAAATCGCGATAAAAACATGGGGGGTTAGGTTAGATAAATACTTTAGACTAATACTACTTTAGACTTAGAAAAATACTTTACGACCCATTCTCATATACCAATTATACAAAAAAACATTCAAGTCGGTCGAGCCATTAGGGAGGAGTGCGACCACAAACACAGTGACACGAGATATTTATATACTAGATGTACATACTACACACTCGTATACTATAATTTGTTTCTAACATTGTTTCACTCTTTATTTAATCATTTCTTGCAAAGAAAGGTAAGATACTTGTATGTTGAAAAAGAGACACTTTCCAGACATTTTTATCTTAATTAGGTTTGCTATATTGGAATTATATTTAGAGGTAAAGTCAGTAATTTAATTTAAATGTTTTGTTTCAAAAGTTGCGATATTTCATAGATGGTAGAATAAACTGTTACTAAAAAGATTTATAAATTTTAGAGCTGTTATATTCGTAATTACAACTCAAAATATAATTTATAATTTTAAGTTTGGTTCAAAATACGTTGTATTTATTTAGCCTCTAACAAGCATCCGCATATCCCACGACCTCTGATACTTAAGAAAGTACCCGTTAAATATTTATCAAATATATATTGTATACAAAAGTATTTTAAGAATTTTCCCCGAGGCTATGTAAATATTCTTCCTTCTTAATTACATTTCCATTGAGGATTGTACATTTTTATAATAAAAGCTGATTTTTATATTGATGAACATAAGATAAATTACAAGACGTAAGTAGCAAATTACAAATCTTTAGCTTTAAATTATATATGTAGACTAACGACTCAGCCTCGCTTCGCTCGGGTTCGTCCCTAGCTGGCTTCCCAATATAAACTTTCATCCCCATTTTCACCCCATTAATGATTCCTGGAATAAAAAGTATCCTATGTCCTTCTCAGGATCTCAAACTCTCTTCTTACCAAACATATAAATCGGTTCCAGAGATTACCCCCCTACAACGTTACAAACTCACAAACTTTACATCTTTATAATATTAGTATAAATATAATTATTAGTATAGATATGTTAGGTACTTTTTTATATTTTTTGGCTATTTTACTCGATATCTAAGCCACTTGTGGATCGATTTTTAGAACTGTTTTTTTAATAAATAGGTAGTCCTATAGAAATAAAAAAAACACTCCAGAGAGTAGAATGCTAATGGGTAAATGCTTTTATTATTTTAGTATAATCATTACATAAAATTATTGAACATTCTTTGCATAACAGGAATCTCTATGTGTACATCATTGCTGAATAAGACTATTTAGATCCCGTTATGTAAAGTTCTACGTTATTATTATACATAGGATATAATTACAATTTTTTCACTAAAAATCGCTAATATAAGACTTTATTGTGAATCCTACTTGTTATCACTTATCCTCTTAACTTGAGAGAGAACTCTCTCAAACACGTTCTACTACAATTGCTTTATACCATTTCAAAAATATTTTGCTTTATTTTTCTATACATATAAAGGATATTTGCAGTACATTTTCCCTTAATTCGTTAATTAAGTTCCAGACAATTTTGGATAAAACTATATACAGTATAATTTCTTACCTATGTAGAGTCGAATCTGTACATTAAATATTTTTTGGAAAATCTTATTGAAATAGTCATTATTATCGATATAGAGGCCGAATCTATAGTTTTTCGGTTTTTTGTCTGTCTGTCTGTCTCTCTGTGGCCGCATCACAAGAAAACCACTGGACAGATCTTGATGAAATTTAGTAAAATGATAGCTGGTCATCCGAGTCTACATCTATACTACTAAACGTTAAAACGTAACTAGGGACGAACCCGAGCGGATCGAGGGTGAGTCGCTAGTATACAAATAAGTTCTCAATTCAATCTTAGCGAAGGTATTACTATGGTAGGACTATGGTAGAATATAATATATACTACTAGCATTGCCCGCAGCTCCGCCCGCGTTCAGATGACCAAAAACAACATTCTTAGGTTTTACAGATTAGTATACTCCTACATTGTAGTTTTTACATTTTTTCTGAGAAATGAGATATTTTCCCGTAGTAAAAAGTATCATATATGTTGACCCGGATAACCAGCAATCACCATACCAAATTTCATCAAAATTCATCCAGTGGTTTTTTTGTGATGCGGTAACACACAGACAGACAAAAGTTCTAAAAACTGTAGATTCGGCCTCTGTATCGATATTAATGTCTATTTCAATAAGATTTTCAAAAAAATATTTTATGTACAGATTCGGCTTAGTTACAATTTTATTATATGTATAGATCAGCATTTTTGCTTTTAGTTTACTCATTTTTGCTTGAGCTATATCCGTATTCCAATTACGACTCTTAGAAATTAGCATCACGCGATATATTGTTTGATTCAAGTCAATCTTGAATCATGCGAAGGGGCGTAGCGTGCGTCTGTAGTAGCGTATAGCTGCAGCCTGACATGGAACTGACAATAAGTAAATTACGGTTGAAAAGTGCACCTAGTGCATAAATTAAAATATTATTTGCGGTTAATAGTAACCTGTTTCTTTTTAGTTCACATGTGCTACACATTACCTTATTTTGGCTTTGGTGAGGTGTTATTTTGTAATCTTTGAATTAAAAATATTTAATTAGTTTATCGAATTCACATTATATTTTAATTATATATTAATTGAATTAACTCATTTCAATAATATTTTTGCCCTTTTTACTTAACGCTTATAGAGTTTCCATTCTTGCTGTGTTTTTATTGACCACTGATATAACACATCAGTTCAATTCAAAACTAATCTCAAATGATTGAATACACTTGCCACAGCCGAACTTCTATGATTAAAAAAGTTAAAGTGTGGCGCTGTAGGAAATGAGATCGGGCTGGATTTACGTTCAATCATCAGTATAGATATTATCACTTATACAGTGGCTATTAATATTTAATTTAAAACGAATAGATTGATATTAGATTCCAACACCGAATCTCTAAGTTAGTCTCTCTGAGTCTTAATATAAGTGAAAAAAAAGGATAGAGAGAAAACGCTTCAAAAAGTTATAGGTTACTTTTGTCATAATATTTTTTTTTAGAAATAAAAACATTGAGAATTTTTACCGTTTTTATATAATTATTTATTAATATTTTCCCAAACTGGGTTGACATGGTACATTTTTCTATCCATTTATCTTATTTTATTTAAAATTAGTGACATAGCAGTTCTTTCACGACACCAATAACACCTTTGTAGTAAAGCTATATCACGTTTTTTTCATTGAGATGATTCGTTGTAAAGTATGAACGACTATATCGGGAAAAACAAAAGAACTTGGTGGTTTGATAGTGAGCTTATCGATTATATTCATTTACAATTACCTCTGCAGTAACTTTCGTGCCAGGTCTTGATCATATCTCTTAATTAAATAAACCGTCACAATTCCATTGACTTGTAACTTATTTTGACTCAACTTGCGTTTGGGGCATAGATTAGTTCACTCTCGTGAGTCCAATTATCATAAAAGAATAATTTTTCATCGCAAGTTACAATCCAATTCAGAATTTCATGATCATTAATTACCTATTAAACAAGTTAAAGCAAGCTTTGATATACTTTTTCTGTCGTCTTGGAGTGAGCTCTTAGAGTACCCCCTTTCAGAACTCTTTCTCTTTAAAGAGGTTTTATCAGTATCGTTTTATCACCTGCGTTAAAGGGTGCTGCTAACTCTAGCATAGTATGAAATAGATTTCTTTGTATTCTTTTTTGTCTGCGGACGACCAATAGGCTCATTTTTCAGATCAATTCTATTCTCTTATGCAGACACACGTATAAAACGTTCGGAAACGTTGATAAATGAGATAATCTGTATCTACCAATGAAGGCTGGAGCTCATATTCAAAAATAACGCTTAATTTCAATCTTATCATGCTTACAGAAATTCACAGTATTGACTTAATACCAGAGCCTGATGCATTATGCGTATTAAATAAATATAGTACTATAAAATTCTATCTTTTATGCAGGACAACTACAATGTTCTCCACATATCAGCAATGTACTCCAGAGAGGACATCGTCAAACTTTTGCTATCTAAAAGAGGTGTTGATCCTTTTGCTACAGGAGGGGTAAGCAATTTCATGGTCTTATTTTATATCTCCAGTAATATTATAAGCTCGTTAGTCTAGTGGCTAGCACGACTGTACATTCCGCGCTCCTGGGTTCGACTCTCGGTTCCGGCTAATTACAGCTAATGAGTTTTTCTAAGAAGAAACTCTGAGTGATATATAGCCCGAGGTTGTGGTATTACATCCCCGTTGCTCTGAAAGAACTTAAAGTCATTAGTTCTGCGCCTGGCCCCTCACTGATCGTGTCGAATTGTCGATCCACCGGAGTTTGAGAGTATAGGGTAAGAGTACACTTATGTCTGCGCGCATACTTGTGAACTTTAATATCTCCTGCGCAAACGGCTTTTCTGAGTAAGATTGGCCGTTTGGCCAATAATCGGGCAGGAGGACATTAATATAATAAAAAGGTAAAGTATACAAGATAAAAATGTCACTAAATCATCCCTAAGTGAAATTTTGCCCATGATATATCCAGTGGCTTTCCGTGACATTATAACTAGCTATTTTCCACGGTTCCACTTATCTTAATTATGTATTGATATATGATTAGACTTGCAACGAAAAGGTAGTATATTCGGCGATATGCCGAATATTCAATATTCTAGAAGATTAAGCTATCTAACACCACGCCATAACTTTTAAAAGCGAAGCAAATGATTATACATAAATAAATAAGCTAGTAGTTTTATAAACAATAAAAAAATTTCATTTGCCATCCCCAATAAATGGAATCAAACCTGAATTCTCCTTAGTATGAAGTACTGCATTAGGGAGTTCAGCTGTATGCAAGGCTGCCTCTGGAAAGCCAACAAACAAACAACATTATCTTATAAAGACATATTTAAGATACGCCTTAAAAATTATAAAAAAATGGTCATTTAGTTATATGATAGGTATAATGGATGACGATTTTAATGTATGTACAAGTCAGCAATAATCGACTCAGGCACGCGAGATGTAATGATTTTTTTAATAAGATGTCATGTGTAAAGACTGAAATATTAAATGAAGTTTAAGAGAAAAACAATTTTGTACACAGAGCCGTCAACAAACTGCGGTGCACCTAGTGGCGAGCAGACAAACTGGCACTGCTACTAGTATTTTACGTGCCTTACTCACTGCTGCCGGCAAAGACATAAGACTACGTACAGATGGGGTAAGTGTTCAGCCTTCTTTAACGTCCCACTGCTGGGCACGGGCCTCCCTTCAATACGGGGGGATCAGGTCATAGTCCACCACGCTGGCCAAGTGCGGGTTGGCGGACTTCACATGTCTTTCGAAAACTTGCTAATTCTCTAAGACATGCTGGTTTCCTCACGATGTTTTCCCTTCACTGTTAAGACAAGTGGTAATCATGTTGGAAATGATTCGCACATGAAAATATCAGAAGTGCGAGACCCGGGTTTGAACTCGCTTCACTCGGTTTCCCAAGCGAGCGCGTTACCACTGGGCTACCACTGCCTATATAGATGGGGTAAGTGTATAGAGAAAATTATTATATGGATTAAAAAAAATGTACATGAAGGTATTATAATTATTATCGATAAACTTAAATGGATTTCTTTATTTCACATATAGGAACTAATTTCTTTTTATAAATGATATAATCGTATCTTCTGATATACACATTTTATACACACACAAAATACACATATATATTGGAGACCATCGACGCAGATTTTAAACAAAAATGTGTAACTACAGCAGTTTCTTAACTTAACTTTGAACTATCCATAGAATCAAAAAACTGAAATGAATCAACGCACGTGTTTACATATCATATATTATTAAAGTTTTTATGTAGTTGGGTACATCAAAGCCAATAATAATATTTCATAAATATTTATGTACCATTTTAATCAGCACATCGGTCATAAACTTTGAAGACATTTCATCGATGAGTTACGCGAAAGCCAACAAACTTTGAACTTTATGACGTTGTTCTTAGAATTTTGATTTTCTAATTGTAGTAGTAGTAAATAGAGCCGATGCAGCATTGGTCTCGATGATCGCGTGCATCGTCTGTCGCCTGGTACCGCCGTCTCGGACGGGAACTTCCCTCAAAAACAAGCGTGTAAACAAAACGCGCCTTCTGAGACTTACAAAAAAAAACAAAATAATGAAATCTAACTAAATTCCCACCTGACGCATCACGCACTATGTTGTAAATTATAAAAAATACGTAAAACTAGTACAAGGCTTTCATATTAACGACATTCCAGCGGCGAAAACCAACCTCCCCGACGAATAGAAACTAGTTAATTATCCGTCGAGCTTTAGCTGCCGAGTAAACGTCACAACGCAAAATTTACAATGCAAATCAGCCGCGGAATATTAGTTATAACGTTAGCGTTGAAATTCAAAATTAGTAATTTTAATACAATAAGTCTCAGTCCGTCCTACGACACGACTAGAGTAAGGCAGTTTTAGTTCACCATGTTCGCCAACGCTCCCTTTGTGTTTGTAGAATAGTTCTGATGGAAGACCAAGTACGTATACACTGGGCGACGATGTTGGCGTCACAAAAGTCAGGTTAACTATTGCATGCGAGTACATATTGCTGTTCGATTTAATGTGAAGTCGAAACCACCGACGAAGATTGCGAAGCACATAAGTTGATAGTATTGTTTGCATTTTGACGGTTCGGAAGCTCCGTGCATTGGCACATCGCACTGGCGTGAGTAGTTCGTGCAAAGACACCGCACCGTATGGATTTGAGTATTGGTGAAAATAAAATATTCCGAAATACTATCCATAGGCCATGTCTGATAATGACAGAAACGTGCCGACCAGCGCAAATTTGAATTTTCGATCTGGGGGCCTACGCAGTCCCCCCGCGAACCAAAATAGCGATTTACAAAAGCTCGAACTAAGTTTTATTGAATTAAATAAAGAGCGTGCGCGCCAAAAGGAATGGAAAAAGCTAATTCGTGACATGGTATTCCAGAGAGGCAAGATCCCGCTACTGCTAGCAGTGGAGGCTGGCAACCAGAGTATGGTCCGCGAGCTTCTCAGTGCGCAGACGGCGGAACAACTTAAGGTGTTTATGTTACTAATCCGATAACTTTCTACACAAAATTTTTCAAGCTTTTTACGTTTCTATCACTAAAGTTTTCATTAAATCAATATTGACGCAAATATTTGACATTTTAAATGAAACTATTATAATCAGCATATATTATAAGCAGCAAACATGGTCACAGGAAAAACTTTCCAAGGCAGAGAGAGTGTTTCCTATGAATATGTTTGCTGTAAAGCATTCGAAACATCAGGAGTCAAAAAGCAATACAAAACCGCAAAACAATAGTTTCCTTTAAAAAATCAATATTAGTAGATTGGTTGGGTTGATCTAAAGCCATTATATCCAGGCCTCCACTCCAGCGGGTGATACAGCGCTTCACTTAGCAGCTAGAAGACGAGATGTGGACATGTCCCGCATCCTTGTAGACTACGGTGCGGCAGTAGATGCGGTTAATGGGGCAGGACAAACAGCCCTTCATATCGCTGCAGCGGAGGGGGATGAACCTCTTGTTAAATACTTTTATGGAGTGCGCGCTAACGCTGCTATTGCCGATAATGAAGGTAAAAATGTCTTTAAAATTTTAAAAATAACGCCATGAAAATTTATTTATCAACCAACATCACATTTAGTGATTTTAAGAATTCATCTAGCTCTTAGTTTTTTAGTTGACCCATATTGTATTTTAAAAATAATTTAAGGTCACTTACAATATATTTTTAAATTGAACCTGCGGTTATCGTCTCAACTATTATAACTCTACATTAATCTCTTACTCTTAGATCGAACTCCAATGCATTTAGCGGCGGAAAACGGACATGCGGCTATTATAGAATTATTGGCTGATAAGTTCAAAGCGTCCATCTTCGAAAGAACAAAAGACGGCAGCACGTTGATGCATATTGCTTCACTTAACGGCCACGCGGACTGCGCTATGATGCTGTTTAAGAAAGGAGTATACCTTCATATGCCGAACAAGGTAATTACTTATATATTTTATATAATTATTATAATATTAATATTAGAGTTGAGAATCTTTACTAAACATCAATAGATATATAAATGACTAGCGACTTACTGTCGCTTCGCTCGGGTTCGTCCCTAGCTTGCTTCGCATTACAGATTTTCATCCCAATTTTCACCTCCCTAAAGGATGATTTCCGGAATAAAAAGTATCCTATGTCTTTCTCAGGGTGTTAAACTATCTTCTTACCAAATTTTATCTAAGTCGGTTCAGTAGATCCAGAAATTACCTCCTACAACGTCACAAACTCACAAACTTTACCTCTTTATAATATTAGTAAATATAAACTAAAATACATAACTTTGTCTTTTTTTAATATGAATTAAGTAGGTATCAAATATGTTTTTTTTTATAATTACATTCAATTTAAAGAAAAAAGAAAATCTTAGAATTAATGTGATACGAATTGTTTTTGGCGCGGTTCGTAAAAAGCATTTATAGAAAAAAGCTTCTAAAACAACTGCACATGATACATTGTAATTAAAATTCTAAATGGAGTACACAATAGAATTCCTTAAGTTTTTGGTTAGCTTTATTGATGTATTTTCAACAATTTTATACTTCTTTGTCACTGAAAGCTTTATAAGCTTTTGAACAATAAATCATAACTTAATTTAATTTAATAATATTGTCTTATTTAGTATTTAATGATGGTAAAAGGTGTTATAGTATTAACATAAATTAAAAACTTTGCCTATATATTTTTCAAAACCAATAATTAATTTGTATCTCAAATAAACACAAGCATTGCAATTTTTGTTCATATAGTGCATAAAATTAAAATTTTGACGCCATTTTATAGCAATTGTGACTACTAATTTTATATTACATACTAACAAAACAAAGTTGCTTTAAACTATACCTAGTATTTTTTACGTTTTTAAATTAACTCCATCTGCTTTAAAATAAATGTCAATCATGGCAATTCAAACTCAGCGAGTTCATCATTCAGTAGTCATCGTTTTGTAATTACAATTTAAAAACTTATTCTATTACTCGTAATAAATAATTAATTAAAGAGTGAAATACGAAAGTCACATCAAAATCGATCCAACGACTTACTTAAAATGAATTATTCGAGACTACATAATTTTTAGACATTCAACGTTAAAAATTAGAATCATGTACTTGAACGTATGTGACGTTCTAATACTGTACATTGAAAAAGTAGGCGACTTATTTCCAAGAAAGTGACTTACCACACGAAACGCCCTTGTAATAAAGGAAATGAAATCATGCGTTTTGAAAACATAAACTATTTACAACTGAGCTATTAATTATAACACAGTGCTTAACTCGCAAAAGCGCTACAGTATATATGCTTTCAATATTTGTGAGAACTAAACTTTAGATTTCTTTCGGAAATATTAATTTTATTTTCTTATTTTAAATAAAGAAGCAAACCATTTAATTAAGACATAATACTTTCTTAGATTTACGCGAATATTTGACATTTTAAATAAAATTATCTTTTCGGTTTTTTTTGCGGATTTATTTTGATTTTTGGTTCCCGACGTTTAACTGTATAACTATAAAAACTATATAATGCTTTTGAGACATCTTAAACCTTAGTCTCTTCAATGATCATGATTGCTGTAAAGCATTACATACATACATACATACACACATACATACACACATAGTTATACAGTTAAACGTCGGGAACCAAAAATCAAAATAAATCCGCGAAAAAATTCGAAAAGATAGTTTTATTTAAATTAAGGCATATTAAAAACTTGGATTGCGAATCTTATAATATTAAACTAAAGTAGTATTTGCCCGTCCTAAAAAGTTAGCCCACGTCCGTTGCCAGGATGAATTTTATGGCAAATTTTATCGAAATCTGTTTAGCAGTTTAAGCATGAAAAAGTAACAAACGGATAGAATTACATTTATAATACATATATATTAGTATAAATTCAGACTTCTATAAAACAGAGGTTGTATTATGCACTATTATAGGGTTTTAAATGTTCGCAATTCTTATAACAATATATTTATGAAGAAAATCAAAACTCCGGCGTAGATCGTACTACGTGTGTTTGTTCATTTATCGAAATATGTATCTAGTTACATTTTTTAGTTAACCGTAATCTAAGGAAAATATTACAGTGTATATATAAATTAGTGATAAATTACTTAATCCATATAAATTAATTAATACAGCATATATGAATGATTTTATTTGATGTTTATGTAAAAAAGTGTTTATTAAAAGAACAAGCTGTTCTGTTGCGAAGCTATAAAAATTTAAAATATGTCAAGAATTTATATGTGAGAGATGGATAAAAAAAAAGAACAGAAAGCTATTTTTAAAGTACACATTTATTTATAGAAATATTAATCAACTGATTATTTAATAAACAAAGATATAACCATATTGGTAGATAACAAAAATAATTGTAAATTAATTCATGGGTAAAGCAAAAGTTACTTATAGTTACTGAAAATACCTTTAAATAATTGATTATTATTCTAATATTATATTTAATACTAAAAATCTAACTGATATCTAAATATTTTAGTCAATATGTCAAGAATTCAATGATCACAACAATTATAATGTAATAATTTATATAGTATTATAACTATACAACGATTATATAAATAATTATCATAATCATTATTATAATTATATAAGTAATACAGAGATTACCTGTTCGGTAACTCGGTTAAGTCAGAGCACTTATAGGAAAGTGCCGTGTTCGCAGTCGAACAGCTTCTGACCCAACGAAATGGTTTGTCCTTTGTTTTTATAGTCGAATGTCGTAGTGGGAGTCACTTGATAATAAGACTGTCAATTGACTTACTCTTAAAGCACGGAAGGAAATGCTAAAAATTTAATTAAATACTTTTTATCTCCGACACGGCCATTCTGACGAGCAGCCTACCATGGCTCGCGAATACTCAAATATTTAATTTAATCAACGTACAGATCGCAAGTTCCAAATGCCAAATCACATGGCAACATTAATAACATGGCGTCCACAAAGGTCAAAGTCAAATGCCATGTTACATTAAAGTAAACTAAAAAGATGGTTCACTAATCACAATTTATCCACATTAGTCTAATGCGAAAGCTCTACCATATAACATGGTGTAACTGCCATAAGGCTCTACAATATAAAATGGTGTAATTGCCACAAGGGCTCTACCATATAACATGGTGAAATTGCCACAAGGGCTCTACCATATAACATGGTGTAATTGCCACAAGGCTCTACCATATAAAATGGTGTAATTGCCACAAGGGCTCTACCATATAAAATGGTGTAATTGCCACAAGGGCTCTACCATATAAAATGGTGTAATTGCCACAAGGGCTCTACCATATAAAATGGTGTAATTGCCACAAGGGCTCTACCATATAACATGGTGTAATTGCCACAAAGCTCTACCATATAACATGGTGTAACACAATATGAATTTAATAAAGTCATTTATCAACCATTCCAGCGTACAGAATAATGTTGGCCAGGCATCAACTGTACGTGGGCTAGTCAAAAAAAATGAGTAAATAAATAGATATATTATAATATATTATATATTTCGAAGAAAACAAAAATTAGAAAGAAAAAAAAATAGTTATACAAATCATTCAACATCTAAAGAGTCTATTAATTCACAACCAAAATCTGAAGGTACATGACGCAGATTTTCATGAGATACATATAATTCATTTCCTGTACCATGTACTCTAATGGTATATCTATCATTATCATGTACTTGTGTAACAACACATGGACCTTTAAACTTGCTGTCAAGCTTATTTATTGTCCGAGGGTTCTGTTTAATTAACACTATATCACCAATTTTTAGAGGTATAATTTTGGCTTTAGTTTTATCAAATTTCTCTTTTATAATATTCGCTTGTACTTTTATATTTTCTTTTGATAACTCACGGCAAGTTTCTAGATCCAAGCGTGTCACGTCATTTATTAAGGCAGCTATGGCTGGAGGTGACCGATTGCAACCCATAAGAAGCTGAAAAGGGGTGTGACCGGTACTTTTATTAAGCGTGCTGTTAATAGCTAACTGTATTTCACCTATAGCATCTTTCCAGCTTCTTTTTGTAGTATTTTCAACGATAGTAAAGCAATTTGTCAGTATTCCCATTATCCGTTCCACTTGCCCGTTTGCACGACTTACACCACTAGCTATGAAATGAAGTTCAATATTCCAATGTGCACAAAAGTTTCTAAATTCTTTACCAGTATAAGAAGCTGCTTGATCACAAACAATTCTTTTAGGGGTTCCGTAGTTATAAATGAATTCTTTAAGACAATTTACGGAAGCCATGGCCGTCAAGTTAGAAACAGATTTCATAAAACAAAATTTCGTAAAACCATCTATGAACACTACAGCATATTGTTTAGCAAGTTTACTACCACTCATCTTACCAGTGGTGTCCATATGAACCGTATGAAAGGGGATAGGTGGTTTATCGATTGGGTGTAAAGCAATTTGTCGAGATCCAGATTGACTTTTGTTAATTTTACACGTAATGCAGTTTTCAACGTATTTACGAGTACATTTTGCCATGTTAGGGAACCAAAATTGTTCGCGTATCTTCTCAAGGGTTTTTTCCCAGCCAAAATGTTTAAGCGAATCATGATAAAGTTGAATGATATGCCAGCGATATCCCTTTGGGACAAAAAGAGATTTCTTAATTTTATTATCTTTAGTGCTGTAAATCCGATATAACAAGCCGTTATGTATCTCATAACTAGAAGCCGAATCTTTATCGATAGTACCATTTTTTATTGAGTCTACTATATTTTTAGTTTCTAAATCGTTATTTTGTTCTACCTCTAACCATTCGCTATAATTAAGAACATTTTGAATGTTAACAGTTACGGGATTTCGGCTCAAAAAATCGACATGAGGAATACGGTCCCCTTTTCGGTACTCAATTTCAAAGTCAAACGATTGTAAGTACGCCCACCACCGATGAA